CGCATGCGCGGGGGGCTGGGCTGCGGGATGGGGGAAGGGGTCGGAGCGCTTGTGTGCGCGCGGCGCTGGAGCGCGGCGGAGTGAAGCGGGATCGGGGCGGGATGTGTCGGGACCTCGCTTGGTAGCTGGGGCTTTGGTGGGTGGGTGGGTTGTTTGTTTGTTTTTTTAAGTAGTTGGGTCCTCATCTTTATCCCGCTCGCACCCGTGTGGCGGGTCGGCCTCCCCGCCCCCTCATAGTCTTCTTTGCATCGCTGGCACGGCCCTGCCCGGCTGCATGCTGCCCACGTGCATGTGCGTGCCCGTGCGCGCGCACAGATGCACTTGGTGCCTACTGCCTCCCATCACTCTCCCCCCAGCCCTAAGCAGCTCCTTGCTGGAGCAAGCTGGGAAGTTCTGGGAAAACCACTTTGATGCTGAGTAGAGCAAAATGCTAGCCGTTTGTTTATATTTTTAAAAAAACGCCTGGATGGAGGGAGGAGGGCCCAAAAAGAAGACATGCCTGCGAAAACCTGGACATATGGTAATCCTACCTCTCTTTTTTCATATATATATATATATATATATATATATATATATATGTGTGTGTGTGTGTGAGACCAGGGGCCTTTGCTTTTGCTTGCTTTTTTTCTCCTGATTGAGTAGCTTTGCTGCTGCCCGGAGCTCAAAGTTCAGCCCAGGCTGGATCCCCATCAAGTTACTTGGGGATTGTCTTATCAGAGTGACAGAATTCGGCCCCTATTAGCTTAATTTCTGTTGTAGCCATGACAGTCCAGGGTTTATGCAAGAGGCAAGAATGTCTTAGGGCACTTGCTTTTCTTGGCCTGACTGCACCACTGGGGTAAAGTTAGGCAAGCTTTCAAAAGCAAGGTGTCCTTCTTCAGGTCTCTGATTCCAGCAAGCCAGGCACAGCAGGGGAAGCGCTGCGGAGGGAAGGGGCAGAGATGCTCAGGTGGAGCAGACATGCAGAGGGTTTATCTCATGAATCCCATTGGCACACCTGCCAGTTCTGTGTTGAGCAGCACCCTTGAGAGGATCTCAAGGCAGCCAGGTTGAATGTCGTTGCTGGGTGAGCATCACGTGGTGTTAACTCAGAGTCACCCAAGTTGTGACTGTTCCCGGATGCAGGCTGCCTGTTTTTGAGGGGCGTGTTAAATTTTGTTTTTAAAGTCCAGAAACACATGGGTCTAGCCAAGGCTGAATCCCCTTTAAGGGTGTGGACACACACGATCCCTTTCAGAAGTTCTGTGGCTGATCTGTTCTAATGATATTTAATCAAGCTGAGAAGGAGCAGGCTGGCTGACTCTGAATCAGACCTGAACCTTGGATGAAGGTGTAGTCAACACCATGACTGGTCCTGGGTACAGGCTTCCTTCTTTCTTTTTCTTTTTTAAATCCTGAAATGTAGAGCTGGCCAAGGCACTGACCAACTTAAGAAAGTACAGTTGTAGGGGGGAGATTTTTGTGCTTTGCATTCTGTGCTGTAAGGGACTGCTTTTTTCACTTGTAGGGAGCAAAATAAAATCAGGGGTTTTTATTAGAGCTTTTTGTGCCTTGTGAGTAATTGTTCTTTTCCTCTTATGGTAGCTACCCCCTGTACCAGCTGGGGAACCCCCAGCTGAGGATTTTCCGCACTAATTTCTTCATGACACTGGTGAGGCCAGGTGTGCCACAGCTGGAAGATGTGGTGCAGTTCCGTGTCTCCATGGAGTAAGTGCAAATGGAAAGGCAGTGGGTGAACGGGATGCCCATTTCTCTCTTGGGATGCCCTCAGGGTCAACAATACAAATATTCCAGTTTTTGTGATGTACTGGTCTAACAAGAACTGGCTGGCTTTTAAAATTGATTAGGTAGCTGGTGCTGTAACACATAGCTCCAGCCATTTTAGCAGATGAGTTTGCTGCAGGGTGAGCTGTGAAATTAGCATACGCATTGCAGTGGCTTTCTCCTGGAACTGAAAATATCCTTTACACCTTTTCTTATGACCTATCCAAGAGCCCTTTGCATATTGTTTCTTGGGGAACACTGAAATGCAGCTGCCAGTTGGGTGAAATACAGCAATACTACATGGCATTTGGAGATGGGATGTGAAGAATGTTTTTATGACCTGAAACTTGAGAACTATCAGGTAGCATCCTTAGGTGCTAGATGCACCTTAGGTGCATCCCTTCACTTATTAAAAGGTTGCTAGATCTGTAATTATCACAAGTTCTCAAGACCTCACTGCTAATTCTTGACCAAAATAGGGCATTTCTAAGAATAAAGCATTTCTAACATGTTGGGGGATGAGTTCCGTACCAGTGGAAAGGGAAGGGTTAACATCCATTCAGTAATCAGCACTGCTTCCTTCATGTTTTGTGTTCTTTTAGATATCCTCTCAATGGACTTAAAATTAAGTTTGACCTTGAGTTTTGCTGTGCTCGCAAGCTATGAGTTCTGATGGGATCATAGGCTAAGGTGGTAGGGCATCAGATCTAAAACTGTTAATAGTTGGTTGCTGTGTGATCATAGTTATCATGCAGATCAAGTTGTGGGTTTTATATCCTGTTTCAAATTAGATCTTGAATTGAGAGGGGCTGACTGACTTAGCTGTCTAGCTTTGTCTCTGTAAGCAAAACACATAAGCAAAACCCCGTCAAAAAAATCCTTGTATACATCACTGCTTTTGGAGCTTCAGTGGGGTCAAGAGTTCTCTTTGCCAGCTGCAGTGGAGCCTCTCGACTGGCTGTCTAATTTGGTAAAGGGGCTTCTAGAAGAAGGAGAGTGAAATGGGCACCACACCTTGGATTTCAAAGACAAGTTTCTATTTATTGCTAGCACATCAATAGGTAGTGACCAGCAAGGAAGAGAGTACTGCTAAAATAGGCTTTATAACCCTCTGTACAAATCTGATTGGACTTTGATATTGTAATAATATGTGTATTCATTACATAGAAAGGAAGTTTAGATGTGCGATAAGGATAGACATGGGTAGCCTGGTATTCTCGGTTCCAGTTCTACCTCTAGCACTCGTTCATTGTAACCCTGGACAGGTCACTAAAAGTTTTTTTTTGTCTCAAATCAATGACTGTAAATTGGGTTTAGTACATGTCTTTGATGCAGGGGCAGTGGGAAGCTTAATATATCAGAAAGTACTTAATTTTGTTTAATGGAAAGTGCAAAAAAGCACAGTATTATGTATATAGCAGTTTTGCTGCCATTATTTCCATTTAAATATAAATCAGCATTTTGACACATTAAGATTTTTCACTTTGGAAACCAATTAAAGCAGACAGACTTGAGAGGAATAACTAGAACATTGCCTTAAGAATAGGAAAGCTAAGTGCGATTATTGTTTTTTTAGGGTATCAAATTTGAGAACTTCTGTACCAGGAGCATCTTTTTATGGGCTGTGAAGGTCGTGGCTACTTTTCAGCTCTCCTTGGCTCCTCTTCCTGAGGACACTTGCTAACAAGCTTTTCCATCTAGCCAAGAAAAAAGCTTGGGAGAATAAATACATTGGCTGTTAAGAGAACTGGAGAAGTGTGTTAAGTGGATGAGTCACCATTTTGCCTGACCAGTCTAGGCTGACACCATAAAGTCAACACATCTGTGGAGACTGTTAGAGAACTCTATGAAGGGGAAAAAAATTGTAAATTGGTGCAGGGAGAGACGAATAGAGTAGGAATTGGGAGCCTTGAGTACTGAAACTATAGAAGCTTAAATATCTGTCAGTGTTGTAGCCTATAGATTAGGGGTTGTTCTGGCACCGTGTTTTATATTTATATTTTTGTGCCTATAAAACTACCTTGGTCAAAGGGGAAAGACGTATTTGCTCTGAACTAATGATTTGCTTTATAAATACTTTGTGTTCAGTTGGAATTTAATTTAAATTTTTACATATTTATTTCTTTCCTTATCTCCAAATGTTTCCTTTTTGTGCAGGATGACAAGAGTGGATGTTAAAAACTACCTTGAAAAAATATACAACGTTCCAGTAGCTACTGTGAGGACCAGGATACAGTATGGTGAGTTTAGGGCTCACCACCCCTTTGGGGTGTCTGAAAAAAAATTCAGCCAGTTCATCCTACTGCTATTTTTATAGTAACCAGCCTTGATTTACTGATATTTTGAAGGATACTGTAGTATAATTTCTTCCCTCCTCATCTTCCTTTCATACCATAGGTTTTACCAGTGCTCTGGAGCAACCATTCACTCCCTGTCCCTTAAGTTGAAGGTCACCTCTGTTCCTATGGTCATTCCTGAGTTGTGTTATACCCTCTATCTTTGACCTTTAAATTCCCTCAGAAGAGACTATTGTTTTGTGGGAAAAGGGAGAACTTGATCATCGCATTCGTTCAATTAAGTTCCCTTGCTTTTGAAACCAAAGAATCACCCATCCTTGTCATAAGGTAGTCAGTTTCTCTTCTCAGTTCATGTGTCTTTCTATTGTATTTCGTGCCATCTGGCCATCATGTAGTTTGGCATGAGGGCCAGAGTCTGTTCAAGAGAGATGGAAGAATTTTGGTAAGTTAGGGAGTAAGGGGCACCCACTGAAATTAGTAGACAACAGGTTTAAAACTAAGAAGAGGAAGTACTTTTTTTTGCTTGTAGTTAACTTGTCAGATTCATTGCCACAGGTGGTGGTAGCAGCAGGTAGCATAGCCAGGTTCAAAAAGGGGCTAGATAAATTAATGGATGTATTAATGGCTGTGGACAAAACAGTTGGAGTAGTTTCCTCTGGCCTGAGGGCCAGATATGACAGATAGCGCCATATCATCTGCCTTGCAGGGTTCCCTATGAATGTGTGGAGGAGCCCTGCACACTAGATTAGGTGCATGGGGCAGCACAGGGCCTGATCCCAATGTGTGGGACTGGGCAGGGGCCGTGTGATGCCTAGGTCTGCCAGTTGGCCCCACGTCATTCACCTGGTCTATGGAGCCGAAACATTTAAGCACCACTGCTCTAAATCTATCTGGTACAGTGTTCTCTAGCATCTACTTCTGCCACTGTCAGAGACAGCATGCTGGACTAGATAGACTGTCAGTCTGATCCAGTATGACACTTCATGTGTTCTTATGTTCTAGAATTAAATTACACTAAGACAATTCTCAGGGTAACCCCAGACTGAAATAGTGGAAAACTTCCAGGGTAGGCCAAGATACAGTTACAGGTGGATTAGGTCTCAAGTCCACATCTTAGTCTGCACCCTACAGTTAGAGGAAGAATTGTCTGGGGGATGTGTGTGTACTGGACAACAATTAGGAGGACATAAAGAAAAAAGGCGGAGGGAGGGTTGGAGAAGAGAAATATTATAGGAGAAATCTGATGAAGAAAAAAAGAACAGCGAAGTTTAATATTAATAGAGAACATGGGAAAGGCTGCAAATATTCAGTTCAGTTTTGTTTTATTTAAATATATCACACAGACTGCATACAGTTCCACATTCTGAAAACTATTCACAGCTAACCTTGTGATCCAAACCATCACCCACGAAAAAATCCTACCCTTGGTGGTGGAGTGTGTCCACTAGGTGGAAATGATAGCAAGTGATCACCTACTGTTGGAGAACTTGAACACTTACCTGGCATAGAGTTAGAATTGATAGTGGGGAGAGCTGAGATTGAGAAATGACCACCCAACCTGGGGAGAGGAGCAGAAAAGGAGGAATGATAAATATAGCTTCTATTGATAGCTCCTTGGAGAGGGGACAGTGTTCTTGCAGCTGTTTAATGAATGACTGTTTTCTTCCTTGAGAGTATTTGTTCCCCAAAGCTGATGAAGGAGAATAGATGGCCCAGTAGCCAGGTATTACCCTAAAATTTTAAGGACTAGGGTTCAGTTCTTTACTCCACCACAAACTTCCCATGAGACTGTGGGCCAAGTTACTTAGGTCCAGAATGTCCATTGAAAACAATGGCTAAGTACTTTTGAGGATCCAAGTCTTG